ATTGCTTGAGTGTTTTATGATTGTTTCTTACCAAGATCAGTGTTCTGTTTATCTAACAGGCTGATCAGACATCCGGATTTGATCACTAGCTTCGGAGATGGGTATATCTCGTTGAAGCATATCTGAGTTTTAAAAAGGGATTGTCGGATAGTTTGGGGTAGATGATCAAACTGTGTGTCTGTTTTGCTAGGTAATAATGATTATATTGCATTGATAGCATGATTGTGTGATTGGATTGTGGATGGGGGTTACGGGATGACTATATTGACTAAGCATTTATCAAATGCGTATGCCTCTTTTTTGAGTGTGCAGGTAAAGAAGTCACCTATGAATGATGGATCTGATGATGAGATGGCGGCTGTGAAGGAAAGGGGATGGACTAGGATTGAGATTTGGTTTTATTTGAATAAGAGGCTAGTTAAATGATGTAATAGCTTATAGCAAACTTGTCTTTGTTTAAGAACCTAATATTTGTTATAAGTGTTTCTAAATTATTTATGCAATGGAATTGAATGTCTTGATGAATCGAATGCGTTTAAAAGTAAAAGAAAAAATCTGAAAATATGCAAAGTGTCAAGTCTGGTTGAAAAAAAAACTCAAGAAGGTTTGGCCAGGATAGAAATATCAGATTGGATCCTCAAACTATAAGCCTACGACTATGTCCAAGAAGAAACGACAAATGGTTGAGAAATTCTGAATATCCATTGGGAAGGTAACTGATTCCGTGAGAAATAAGTTCCATCGAGAAAAATAGAGTTTTAGCTGAGAAAAAAAAAATTGATCGAGAGAAAACGTCTAAGTTTTGAGCGGAAAAATTTATCATAGATGACATGTTTTATCCAAAGAGAAATATGATTTTTAGTCGGTTTAGCGCATTTGATATGGCTATATCTAAGATAACCGGCTAACTCAAACAAGGGCGGTTTATCTAGGGTGTTGTCGTATAAAAGGAGGATACAGTAGATTTCTCCTCAGATCACATCTTTTAGCCGATAGAAATCAGAGAAAAAGGACCCTATGGAAGTTATAGTCGAGAGAACCTGACGATAGCCAAGAGAATTCGACTGTATGCGAGAGATAGTCAAGCAAATACGACTATATCCAAGAGATTGTCGAGGAAGTCAACTATATCCGACAGATGCGTGACTGGATCGAGTGTTCATCGAGAGACTTCCGACTAAACTTGATTTTCCAATTGTTTAAGGTGAGTGCGTGACTGTGGTTTCTGTATAGTATCATTTGATTGCAAGGTTCTATATTTTCATTGATTGTTTGAGTGTTTTATGATTGTTACGTAGCAAGATCAGTGTTCTGTTTATTTCTATGGATATCTAACCGGCTGATCGAAAGTCCGGATCAGATCACTAGCTTGGGAGATGGGTGTGTCTCGCGTAAGCATGTCCGAGTCTTAAGAAGGGTTGTGTGATAGTTTGGGATAGATGATCAAATCGTGTGTCTGTTTAGTAAAGAATAATGATTGGGTTGGATCAAAGTATGATTGCCTGATTGGATTGTGGCTGGGTGTTACGGGAATACTGTATTCAGCATTTATTAAATGCTTATGCCTCCTTTTTTAGTTTGCATGTAAAGAGATCATCTGTGAGTAATGGATCTGATGATGAGACGGCGGCAGTGAAAGAATAGAAATGAACTAAGATCGAGTTTTAGTTTTATTTGAATAAGAAGGTAATTACATATTGTAATAGTTTATAGCAAAGTTGTCTTTGTTTAAGAATCTTGGATTTGTTACAAGTTTTTTTATCTATTTATGCAATGAAATTTAATATTTCAAAAAGTTAATTTATTTTGTAAACTAACCTACGTTTTAAAAAGTTTGGAAATTTATTTTTATCCAAAATTACCAAAATGCTTTATATAAATCAAACATGGAAAAAATTTTAGATCCAAAATTATTATTTTTGATTAATTTAAAATTTCTTAAAATATTATTTTTTAATTTTGTTAGTTTAAATCAGAGTAAAAAGAATATAAGAGTAAGTCCTTCCAATAGCATGAAAACTAGTTTTAGTTCTTAATTACACCACAAGCTAAAAATTTTACATCCATAACATCTTTCATTGAGAAACTGACATTATTGCCCTCACTTAAATACAACGGTTAACCAGTTAAAGCAGACGATTTTGAAATCATCGGTGCCTAGTTTAAAATTTTCAAATAGTGATCTTCATCTTCTAGTTATTGCCTAGTTTCTAATTTCAAATCGGGATTTTCAAATTTTCACGCCGACCAGTCATATTCAACCATGTCCGATATATCATTGCCGACGTCAATCATATATGATACATCGCTATCGTCAATCATATACAATACATCGCTCTCGTCAATCATCTTCGATACCTTACCTTCGTCTTCGTCAATCATCTTCATTCATAGGCACTCTCCTCCTCTTACCTTTTTAATATGAGTTATAACACGTTAATTTTGGATGTTGTGAAACTTCTTAAGAACGATTTTAAAATTGTTTTGCATCTTAATAGTCAGTGTTATGTTTGAAATGATCGAATTAGAGAATTGTAGTCGATCTTTACTTGATGATTGATATTTAATTTGTTCAACATTTTTATAACTTAGAGAATCGTAGTCCATGTTTACTTTAGGAAGACTTTCATCTGTTTTAGGAATGTCTTCATAACTAACATCAAAGTATATCATCGCTATAAGTGTTAGATTATGATTCCTCAATGATTGACCTTTTAGGAAACAACGAGCATGATGAACTAATGTTTATCTTCTTTAGACAGAGATAAGGCTGTTTTAAATCTTCTTGTTCATCGACTCAAGATCAAATAATTCTTTTTGGTTGTTTCTTTTAGTATATTTTTTCTTCTTATTATTAGTTGTATTTTTGTTTTTCTAATTCAGAGAGATATGGTGGGGATATATGTTGTTTGTAGTGAGTGAAAATTTGGAGAGAATCATCACTTGGAGTTTGAAGTAGATATAAACAAAAGAGGATCATTTTCTGTTGTTGATGAAGATTTCACATATGAAGATCTTCTAAAGGTTGTTAAGGCTGATTTCGGCATGGATGATATTGAAATCACACTCACTTACAGAGATCCCCTTCGGATGGGAAGTTTAGGATACGATATTTCCATTTAAATCAGAAATGATTGCCAAGTAAAAGATTCTTTATAAAGATGAAGGAAGTTGCTGGAATTCTTCGTTTGTTTGTAACGACTGAGAATTTTACACAACAAGTAACATTGTTTATTTTACTTTGTAAATAGGTACAAGGGTTCTTCAGAACAGGAAATCTACCTAAGGATATAAATGCTGCTCATATAAGGCTAACCCCTAAAGTGCAGGGGCCAAAGAAAGTGTCAGGCTACAGACTTCTTGCCATATGTAACGTCTACTACAAAATTATCTCAAAGCTTCTCAGTAAAAGACTTCATCCAATCTTACATGTCATCATTTCGGAGAATCAGTCAGCCTTTGTGCCTGCCTAGGCCATCTCGGAAAACGTCCTCATCACCCATGAGGTGCTCTATTTCGTGAAAACATCCACAGCAAAGGTCCATTGCTCGATGGCAGTTAAAATTGGCATGGGCAAGGCATACGACATGTTAGAATGGGATTGTATTAAAGAGTGTTTGAAAGACTGGGTTTCCATGCCAAGTGGGCCAATTGGAAAATGCAATGTGTGTCTATGGTAACATACTTTTACATAATCAATAGAGCTCCGCATGGAAACATCAAACTCCAATGCGTAATTAGGCAAGGTTACCCACTATCTCTCTATATCTTCATACTCTGCAATGAGGTGCTTTCCGGTTTATTCCACCAGGCCCAACAAACGGGCAGGCTAAAAGGGATACTGTGGCCCGTTTTTTCCCTTATATAAACCATCTCCTCTTTACCGATGACACCATGTTCTTCTGCAAAGCAAGTAAAAAGAACATTCAAGCATTAAAGAAGATTTTGAACGACTATGAAAAAGCTTCCGGTCAATGCATCAACAAGTCTAAATCAGTTTTCGTTCTCGCATAAAGCTTCCATCGAACTAAGAGAAATAATGAAGCTTGATTTAGGTATTGATAAAGAGGGAGGAGTGGGTAAGTACCCCGGGCTCCCTAAACATTTTGGAAGAAAGAAGTGTCATCTCTTCACCGGAATCATGGACAAAATTAGGAAAAAGTCTGCGAGCTGGTCCACCTCCTTCTTGTCACCAGCGGGGAAGATGACAATGCTGAAAAGTGTATTATCCTCCATGCCCTGAAAAGTATATTGTCCTCCAATCTGCTTTAACACGATTCTGGTGGGACACAAAACAAGATGTAAGAAAAATATCTTGGATCACATGGGATAAGCTGACTCAAACAAAAGGAGATGAAGGCCTGGGATTTAGGGATATACCTTGTTTCAGCGATGCGATGCTGGCAAAGTTGGGCTGGAGACTTCTTATGAATCCTGATTGCCTGCTGGTAAGAATATGCTTTGGAAAATATTGTCAAGATACCCCTTTCCTTGAATGCTCCAAAAATCGTCTGCTTTACATGGATGGACTGGAATCTTAATAGGTCGCGACTTAATGGTCAAGTAACTAGGATGAGCAGTAGGAAATGGAAAATCCATTAGAGTATGGCAAGACCCTTGGATGTCTCTGACCAACAAACAAACAACGATGGGATCGGCCCCTGAAAAATGGTCAAACCTTCGAGTAGCCGATCTGTTTCACCAAATTCCACATAGTGGAATGCCAGCAAGGTTCAGCAAATCATCCTGGTCCACGCAAGTGATATTTTGACCCTGCGACCAAGCAAGATAAGAGCACCGGATAAGCTAATCTGGCTTAAGACACCATTCGGTATCTACTGTACTAAAACGGGCTGCTACTCAGCCCTAGAGGAGACAACTAAGGAAGCAAATCATCTCACCAATGGTATAAAGTGGATACACGATATTTGGATAGCGAAAATGCCTCTGCAAGAGGGGCTCTGCCAGTAGGATAGAGACTGGTTTCGCGACAAATCCGGATGAATCTGGTTGGCATTCGATGTGGGGAACTTGAAAAAATCTCCCATGTGCTACTACATTGCTCCTTCGCGAAGGAGGTGTGGGAAACAGCTCTGATCCGTAACTCGCTCTCACCAAACCCAGATTGGGATTTCAACACGACATGGCCAATGCTTCACCAATTGGTCTGCCTTCCTCCGATAAGTTCCGCTTCGGCTCCACTGGCTCCATAGATAATCGGAAACCTATGGACAGCAAGAAATAACAAAATTTTCAGCGACAGTGTACCCAGTAGAGGAAGTGGTTAATAAAGACATTGTCGGGGTACAAAAGTGGTTCGAAGCTCAATCGACAAAGATCCAAGCCCCAACTCAGACCCTAAAAAGAAATAGAGTAACCAGTAGCATTTACATCTCGTGCAGAACAGATGTTGTCTGGCAAAGTGATAATAAGGTTCCAGGACTAGGATGGGTCTTCATCAAGGATCAGGAAAGCCTGATTGCTCAACACTCCACAATAGTCAGCCTCGTAAGATCACCTTTAATGGCGGAATCTCTTGCGATTCGCGAAGCATTTGAGGGTGCATTGAGACTGGCCTTCAGAAGGATTAGGCTGGAATCGGATTCAAGTTAAGCAATCAAAGCACTGACTTCGAAAATTGGGTCAACGGAGATCTATGGAATCGGAATGGACATCACAGCGTTGCAAGCTGTTTTGATTTCATTGATTTTATGTTTATCGATCGAGTGTTTAACAATGTTGCAGATGGACTGACCAAACAGGCCTTAAACCTGTATGACCTAAATCCAATTTAAATAATAAAATCAACTTTTAGATAAAAAAATATATATATTCTTTTCTGCAACCCATGTCATAAAAAATTATTTTTTTCAGTTTTCACAAAAAAAATATACTTGGAATATACGCTTCCCTACTTTTATATATGGATTTTTATAGGTTAATCCATACTATTATTTAAGAAGAACTTAAATGTTTAAACCTAAATCATGTATTATATTACATGAAATACCATTAATTTTTTTGTTTTTCTAAAAATTCATTAATGGTAGCTTAGTCTTAATATAAATAATTGATTATTATTTTCTTTTTTCTTTATTTAATTCTTATATATCTATTATCCAACATAATAGTTTTTAAATATTATTTAGATTAGTTTAACTTCAATTACTAAACACATTTAAATACTTTTAAAGTTTCCATAAATAATTATTTTGAAAATTCTAATTAATCTTAAAATTAATTACATCCAAGTTTATATAAAACAAAATGACAATTATAATTACTATATATATGTTATTAGATTATAAAACATTATACAATATAAAACATTTTGCAAAAAAACTATAAATTTTGTTTTCATATATTTATTATTATGTGACAATATAATAGGCCAAACACATATGTGTATAAAAATAACAATTATGATTACTATAAATATATATAATTAAATAATATATATTTACAAAATATAAAACATATTGCAAAAAAATTATTACAAAAACAAAAATCATATTCTTATTATTATGCAAGAACAGGAGAAGAAAGAGAAGAAGTGATGAAGAAGAGGCAGGAAAAGAAGGGATAATATGAAGGGATGAAAAAAAGAAAACAAAAGAAGGGATATATTCAAAGGTACTTTGTACTTTTGATATATTTTTTAAAAAATGAAAGTCTTTTATACCCTTTAACTAAACTTCTCAAACTCCTCTCTCCTTCTTCATCTTCCTTCTTAAATATTTTTTGGTTTATTTCCATCTAAAATTTCCAAAATCTCTAAAATCGTTTATTGCTTGCTCCTACCACCACCACTCCTACCACCACCACTACCACCATGTCTCCGATCTATTTTCAATGAATTTGGATCAAACTCTCTCCTTCTTAGCAATTAAACCTCTCTCTCTCAACAATTTGTTTAACTAGCTTCAAAGGATGGAGAACTTGTTGAAATAGAAAGTGCTCTCTCTCTCTCTCTCTCTCTCTCTCTCTCTCTCTCTCTCTCTCTGAAAATTGAATTTGAATCCAAAGATAACACAAGAACTTGGGATTGTGTGAGGAATTAGCTATACAAATTGAAAGAGCAAAAAAACAACTTGAAGGTGTTCGACAAAATGTGTAAGAGAACATGTATATCCATTTAAAAACGAACACATGTTTAATGGACGGGTTAAAGTGGACGGTGTGATGTTTTTCTTGTCCAAACAAATTTATCCATGCAATTACATCCATGATAAATTATTCACTATGCTTTTGTTGTAAAAAATTGTTATGAACAAAAATGGATGAACATTGCCAATATATTCATGAAAACTTTTTGTTCAAAGTGTAATAACAGATGTACGGATCTAGCAATCCAAACTAAATCCTCATAGTATGCAATAATACGTGAATTAACATAAGAATTGATGTTCTTGCCCTCTAGTGTTATTGATGTGAAATTGATCAAATTTCAGATTTCATCATAAGTCTTAGCAGATGGTGGAGAGCTTATTATAGACAAGTTATCTATATTTATATGGACAATGTAGCATGGACAATGTTGCATGGATACAAAACTTGTTTCTCACATATTTTGTATTCAAACCCTGCATTTGTTATCGTTTCCTTCCATGAGCCATCTGTTTCATATATCAAGCCAACATGGACCGGCGTCACTTCTCTTTGTGTATATTGGTTTTCAAGGTAATGTTCTTCATGTTGAGCCAAAGCCCATGATGTCGCATCTGCTTGTGCAATTATTATGATTTTCCTAGGATCATGTTTTATGTTTGAATAAGGTTTATCATTTCTGGCTTTTCAAATATACCAAAGTATCCATGAATACACTTACATACCCAATGTGTTTGGAAGAATCCAAAACAGATATGACATATTTGTACTTAGTGCAACCAAAGAAAAACCCAATAGTAGTGTTGGGATCACTGATAGAGCCTATACCTGAAGCGTGATATATAATAGTTTTTATGGTTTTAACCATGATATAAGTCCTTTTTATTAAGTTTTTTTGGTCTTTTAGAGTCATAGTAGAGTCTTTGCAGGTTATAGCATGTCTGAAGCATAATTGGAGATATTGAAGCTTTTTGGAGTGTTGCAAGTTGAAGCCACGAAGTGTCAAGTTCAGAGAAGAAAGCATGCATTTGGGTGACGCTCGTCACCACCTATGGTGACGCTCGTCACCCACAAAGGAAGGAGCGTGGCTGTTTTATTAAAGTTTGAAGATTATTTGAAGAATTGGCCCAGAAGTTACAGTATTTGCAAGAACACCCCATATCATGTTTAGCTTGTATATATTAGGTTTTCAGCCATTGCTGACTTTTATCTTAGATTTTTGAATTTAGAAAGCTTCAGAGAAAATTTTATTGAGAGCTTTATGGGAGACAGATCATGTACTCTTTTTGAAGAAGATTTCGAACCCCTTTGTTTTTATTCTATTCTCTTAATGCAAATTTATTCAGTTATGTTTTGTGATTCCATGATCATGTCTGAGTAATTTGTTAGTTAAGTTAGGGCTTTTCAAAGGTTGATGAAGAGTTTGTAGAATTGCTACCTGTTAGGAATATCTTTTGGTTCTTCATCTCTACTTGCTTAAAAATCGATTTCTTAGACACATCATCTAGAAATCCGAAAATCATAGGTTGTTAAATATATGTGAGAGCATTATTGATAGCCTGAACTAGTATTTGATGAGCAAAACATCTTAGTGCAAAGAGATTTGGCTTAGGAGTTTTGTGAACAATTGAACTTGATCATTACTGCATGTTTAGATTGTTAGGGGTTTGCAAAAAGATTTGAAACTCTGTGATTTAGACATAGTTAACTTCGGGAATGAGAACTGATTAGTAATGTATTTGCAATTCATGTTCAAGGCGGTTTTTAATCATTCCTGATTTCATGCATTCTACATTCTCGGATTCAACCTGCAAACTGTCCTGACTTAGCGTTTTTAGTCTTCTGAAACTTAGATCAACAACCAAATTTCGTTTGCTTACTTTTATTTTGTCATTCGCATTACATACACCACTTACTGCTTAGCTTAATCTGAACCTACAATCGATAGTGTATTTTACATACTCCTTTGGGATTCGATACCCCTTGTACTATAACTGCTTTGCTGTGCACTTGCAGTAGTTTTATTTGGGTAAAACCTGAGCCCTATCAAGTTTTTGGCGCCATTGCCGGGGAGTAATAGCTGCCTATCTATTTCTAGTATTAGGATTTTGTCTAAGTTTTAATTTGTTTACTAACTTTCTGCTACTTCTCTTTATGCTGGTTTCAGGTGTATGCCTAATCGCAGTACCATAAGCAACAAAGAGAAGGAGCTTATGACTTTTAGCATCGAAGAACTCGCTAAGTTGGAGAGGACCATCAGGAACACTAAGAAACAGTCTACAATGGTTGCTCCACTGATCTTGGTTGAAGATGCAGAATGTCACTTGGTTGACAGAGAGGGAAACAGGAGGAACGAAGAAGGGCAGAGAATTGATCAAGATGGGAATGTCATTGTTGAAACAGCAGGTTCAACGAGTGGTACAAGACGCTGGAGTCCCTTCTGCTGCTAAAACAACGATGCTGGGTGTTTTGTTCAGAGGACTTTAGGAGACTACAAACAGACCTGATCAGTTCTATGCCAACAGAGCTGCAATCCGCCCTCCTGCTTTCCAGAGAAACGATTTTGAGCTTAAGCCTGCTTATTATCAGCTGGTGGGACAGCATCCATTCCATGGCTTACCTCATGAGCATCCCATGGATCATATTGAGAGGTTTGAGGATTTGGCTTCAAGTGTCAAAGCTAATGGAGTTAGCAATGACTTTATGTTCTGCAAGCTTTTCCCTTACTCACTTGAAGGAGATGCTGCTTACTGGCTGAAGCAACTGGAGTCTCGTTCATTAACTACTTGGGAGGACACAAAAAATGCCTTTCTGAACAATTTCTATGATGATGCTAGATCAGAGGACCTGAGGACGAAATTTGCATCATTCTCTCAAGGTCCTACTGAAGCTTTTAAGGCTTTTTGGCTGAGATTCAAGTCTTATCAAAGGGACTGTCCTCATCATGGTTTCAGTCAGGTGCAACTGCTTGGGATTTTCTTCAGAGGCATTGACTGCAAGTATCAGATGGCACTTGATGCAGCTAGTGCTGGAAACTTCAACACCAACAGATGAGAAGAAGCAATCAGATTGATTGAAAACTTAGCCTGCAGCAACAGCACCAAGAATGTAGATTTTCAGAGAATGAAACAGGGTGGTTTAAATGAAGGAAACAAAATAGCTGAGGTTAAGGCTAAGTTAGACAGTATGCACAGTCTTCTGGTGGGAAAAGCACCAGTCCAGTTCGCTGCATAGGTGGAGACCTTCGAAAATCCTGAAGAGTTTGAGCAAAAGGATGTTAACTTCATCAATGGAGGTTTTCAGAACCAAAGGTTTGGGAATCAACAGTGGAACAGAGGTTATAATGTTAACAATCAGAAGAGCACCTTCCCAGGAAACCAGAATGCATCTGGTTATACATCAATGCCACAGTTCCAGAAGACTGAAGTTGAGAAACCTTACCAAAACAGCAGGAATTATGGTTCTTCTTCCTACCAAACTACACCTCCACAAGACAATAAGATGGA